CGTTAGAAATCAGACGCATTCGGGGAGATCTATTTCTCCTCTACCATTTCTTCGACACGGGTACTGACGAAACCTTTTTCTGTCATTGCTGACTCTCAGATTACCCGAGGTCATATCAAAAACATTTTCAAGCCCCGTCCGAGAGCCACCCTGCGTGCCTCATCTTTTACCTTCAGTGTGATATTTTTATGGAAGGCCCTTCCAGAAGAGATAGTCAGCGCTCCCAGCAAGGCGGTCTTCAAACTTCGTCTCGACCGCCACTTAGGTTTATCTACTCTCTCCCAATAACAGAAAAAACATTTTGAATTGTATGAGGGTTCGCAAGCCTCCATTTTATTTTTCGCCTCAAGCGGGAAACCCTATTAATGCCTTTTCAGTACTCTCTGTTCTAGAAGAAATTCGAACCAAAGCAAAACACAGATACCTTTCAAGGACCCAGGACATTTGGGCAACAGCCTCGAACCCGTGAATCACTTCAATACTTCAAGACACCTGAAGGTCATTTGTAGGCTTGCCTTTTTATGGCGCAGTTTTTGAAAACCCTCTAATCCGCAATGTCTAAGTAGTAAACTTTGTGCATGCGCACTTACATGTGAATGTGCATGTATTTGTGCATCGATCTGAGAACATACTCCGAATTTTAGGGTGAAAGGCGCCCTTTGGACATTCGTCGGGGTTCAAATAACTGTGCAAACAGGAGTTATTTCTAACCCTACCTTCGTAGAAAGATGAACGCAGATAACACCAACAGCTCATCCACGTATGTACCTAAAGAAATACGGTGAAATTTTTCCGAAAATAAATTGAGCAACACTGTGCTACTGTGTTCTTTATTCAAATACTGGATTCTGAGTTATACTTATCCGGCATGAATGGCACAGTGATTAAGTCGCTGTCCCTGGCGTGCTTTTGACCCTATAGTCCGAGGCTCGGGTCCCGCCACCGCCACTCAACTTTGGTGGTAGACAGCCTTGCGGTCGTTTTATTCAGCACCACGCCTATCTTTTCGGGGCCTTACGTGGTTCACCACTCCAAGTCCTGGAGCTCAGACTACCCGTTTCCATGACGGAACAGCAGGTCGTTGTGACCATGTGGTTCGCCCCGTCTGCTCTTCATCAGACAAATGTCGGTTATAATTAAACTACTCGAATTCAGTCGCCTAACGAGGGATGGCGGTGTGGTACTCTATTTCAGCTACAAACTACAACGCTGTAGTAATCAAAGTAGGTAATTGTTACGGTCAACCAAAGTATGTAAGCATCACGGAGCACGAAATACGGACACAATAGTCTGGTGGTTTAGGAACAGACTCGGCAGCCACGAAAGGGTGGTGTACAGTTTGCGCAAAAACAGTATGGGTTAAAGAATTTTCTGTTGATGCCGGCCTAGGCCAGGGAACAGCACTTGCAGTTGGGTGTATTCGAAGGCCAAGGAACTGTAGTTGAGGCCGATTCGAGTCCACGTTCGTGTACCGTGAGGTAATCAGTAGCATACGGATGTTTCTATCATATAGAATCGTTTGTAAGCCGGTTTCGGAGCCAGTCGGTGACAACTTGAATAACGTTCCAGTTCGAGTGAAACGTCGGCAACTGACAGTGGAATGCCATTGTTGACGGGGGCGAATTGTCAAAGCTGTTGTACGTGCGCTGAAGAGAAGATAGCAAAGGATGCTGCAGGAAACGATGTGGTCTGCTCGTAGCCCCATTACACCGACACAATGGTTTATCTTCTGCCGGGTGTGTGGGGCCGTCCACGCGGGTTGCCTGGTTGATAAGAAATCTGGCCCGGGCAAACCAGAAAAAAGACCCGGCCTGCCAAAACCCGAAGTGCGTTCGACGGTGTAATAGGAGTGGCCTCTTCCCGCCACACACCCCACTCCTCGCGTTCCCCTATCCGGTAAGGACGGCCGTTCCAGGAAGTGCGATCTTCTGCGTCGCACATTCGTTTGCGGTACTCTGGAAGAGAAGGGAAAACGACTAACCTAACAGCACCAGGGCTGTTGGTAGAAGGGAGGAGGAAGGGTGGGGAAGAGAGCATCAATAAACCAGAAAAAATATATATATATACAAAGCAATTTTTTGAGTTTCACGTTTTATGGTTTTTAGGGTTTTGAGAGTTTTGTGATTTTTTTCTTTTTGTCGTTTTCTGTATGACGTAAAGAGAGACAATAATAATACGTGAAACGTGAGNGCGGTACCCTGGAAGAGAAGGGGAAACGAATAACCTAACAGCACCATGGCTGTTGGTAGAAGGGGGGAGGGACGGTGGAGGAGAGAGAGCATCGCAAAACCAGAAAAATATATATAAAGCAATTTTTTGAGTTTCACGTTTTATGGCTTTTAGGGTTTTGAGAGTTTGTGATTTTTTTTGTTTTCTGTATGACGTAAAGAGAGACAATAAAAATACGTGAAACGTGAGACTAGCCACAATAATGAAAAAGGGTGGCTAGCTGTCAAAACGAACTGATCGGCGGACTTCGCTACCGCGACGGTCGTGTTTGACCAGGATAGATGGAGGCATCGTAGGAGCGCTTGTGGTCTGCGGTGGACCCGGAGGAGGAGGTGAGGGGGCCGGTGCTGGGTGTCTGGGTGGATCCGTGGAATCTGATGGGGTGCTGCCCTCTAGGAAGGCTGGTTTAAGCTGATCTAAACTAACTGTTTCTTTTCTACCGTTAACATCGACGACGGCGGTTTTATCCTTACGAGCTATGACCCTGTGCGGCCCGGTATATGGAGCTTGTAGCGGTGTGCGTGTGCTATCTACGCGAAGAAAAACATGCGTAGAGGACGACAGGTCTCTAGAGACATAAACGGGGGTTCTCTGCTGTCGAGTGGTTGCGGCATGAACCTCGCGCGTGTGATGGCTAAGTCGATGGGCGAAGTCCGCGTAGTTGAAGTTGCGCATCGGAGTTGGCGCAACGAGTTCCCCGGGGAGACGTAGGGAACAGCCGAAAGCTAAAGCGGTCGGTGTTGTGTGAAAGTCGGCCTTTATCGTGTTCCGAATGCCCAAGAGGACAAGCGGAACGGCCTCATGCCAATTGGAACCGGAGTG